TTACCTTTTTTTTTTTTAGTAGGGGACCTGAGCTCTTAAATGTGTCGGTTTGCCTCAGACTTGCTCCGTTTACTTTCCTGTTGCATTAGCATGGAAAAAAAGGGGGGGGGGGGGGTGGATAACACGTTTGTAACTACTATTGCCTCTGCGTTTCTTCTATTCAAATGAAGACCTTTGGTTTGTCTTTCGGTTACAATTGTGTCCATTATTTCTTGCACATGTGATGCAAGGCAATCCACTGTCAGTAAAAGTAGCCTGTTATCCTATGTGGTAATCTTATTAAACTTGGTCGTTCCCAGTATCCCCGCCGGTGCTACGGAGTTCGTGCACTGCTCTGGTATTCTTCGGACTCAGGATTGAGTTAGAAGTAAAACGGAGAACTTATGGGTTACTACCCTTGTACCATGATGTTGATCCAAACCTAAACCAAAACTTATATAAGACACTTAAGACACAATGACCTGCCATAGATCCTCCTTTATTTTTCCATAATCATATTTAATTTTTTTTTAATGTAAATCTATATTAGAATTGAAAAACAAAGTGTTGAGGGTTGTTGGTGTTTTCATTTCCTCGTGATATCACGGACCCATTTAATTTGAACTACCAGTTGGAAGCAGGTTAATTCTAATTAATTCTAAATAGAGATAGTAGGAAGAATTACACTTCCACAGTCTGTTTCTTCTATCTACGCCAGTAAGTGCAAATTAATACATCGACGTGTGTTTATCGTGTAGTTTCAAACACCTCTGGTTTTGTAGCGCAGAGGTTCTCAAACTGGGTGCCGCGGGACCCAGGGGTGCATTCACAACGTACGCTTATATTAAAAAACAGATACAGGAGCAACCTTCAAGTGATTTGAGGGTACAATTAACTAAACTTCCCATAAACATAAAGGAAATAATAAAATATTTATCTAAAGTTTTATTCATCGCATTAAAGACAACTGAACAATAAATTTGCACTGTTTTTCTTCTTCTAAGTATTCAAACAGTTAATGGTAGGTTTGTTGCGAAAAAGTTTTTGCCCGACAAGGGTGCCGCGGCTAAAAAAGTTTGAGAAACGCTGCTCTAGCACGTAATACTTATGTATAATAATCAATACAAGACTCTGGTTGTTGGTGGCGTATACAACTATGTTTGAGAACCTATGGACCCATTCCATCTACAACAAGGATGATTCAGCGACTCATTCAGTTGAGATTAAAGAACTTCAGTGACCTTTCCGGCGAGCTCTTAACATATTTCCCACAGCGACACTCAGAACAGTTGGTTTATAAGTTTAGAGGAGTTGTCCTACAAACAACCAGCTTTTACTTAAACGAACAGGCCTAAATTTGAGACAGCTGTCTGCATTTTACGTTTCCAACGAGGTCATGCGATAGATAAAAGCTCGTTTCACAATTATTGGAAAGGGGGAAAAGTGGTGGGGTTGTCATATTCCATAAAAATTACACTAGCCAGCAAGAGTTGAAAAATCAATTACTGAGTATGTAATCTTAACTTTTATAATGCTGAACTAGAAAGACTAAATGTTCACTCTAGTGAATCAAACAAGTATACGTTTTTATTAATATTTGCGTAAATTTATAATTAAAAAATCACCAGAGTTAGTTGATGAATTTAATTACGAAATTTGAAATCCCCATGTCAAAATCAATAGTGAATAGTGTATTTCAATTCTGATACTAGTAAGTTTTTGAAATTTTGTTGACTCGTGTTATGAGAGTTGTGAATGATAAATCGTCGAAACCACCTTAATAACCCACAGTGAACTGAATGATTTTGTAAGAAATCTGAATATTACCGAAGAACAGGGTTCCAGATTGCAACATTTGAATTTCCTAGTAGAAGATGTTAGAACTGCTGTGTATTCTTGTCCCAAATCCTTTGTATGAAACTGGACACCATGAAGGGTGACAGACTAGAACAACGGCAGGTTCTGAATGGTCCAGGCTGAAAAGACAGTTAACAGCGATTCGCAGCGAGAAGCTAAAGAGGGGAATGTGTAAAAGTACAGAAAGTTAGAGAAGAGCTGCACAATGTCATTACCGTAGGACGGGAATGCAAGGAATGGGCGGCGGGACACCCAGAGGTTCAACAGCTAATAGAACACAAGGACGCCAAGAACTGCCATTACTCCCTTTTCCCCACCCCCGCCCTTTCTTTACCCAAATACATGCAATAGGTCGCTTTTCAATTACTGTGATAATCATTTTATATTTTCCACCTATGGTTTTATTTTAAGTTAAGGTTACACTTGATATATAAGGACAGATAGATAATGCAATCACATTATCACAATTATGAGAAAAATCAAGACTTATTTGGTGGGGGTGGGGGGGGGGGGAGGTGCTGGTACTCTCCACAAAGTGTCTGATAACAGATACCGGTGCTCACCACAAATGATCTTTGACAGTAGCCTTGAAACACAACAGATGCATGCATAGAAGGTGTCGGTGCCGTTGAATGCCGCCATTAAAAAGAAGGTCCTGGTGACAAGTAAACTCATAACCTGGATTATTAAAATGTTGAATGTTGGATTCAGAATCGACATCGCTCCGTCGCCATCTTCAGCAGCAAGCGAAAAGTTCAAGTTCCGATGAAACCAGCAAAAGTCTAATTGTATATCCGTCTCGCCTTTCATTTGAATGTTGACCGTTGGCCAGATCTCCTGGTAACTCCCCGCAGCGCCATTCTCCTCAGACCGTAATGACCTATTGGTGCCTCCGCGCTGTTCAATCGCCCCCAAAGGACCCTCACAACATCTAGCTTGTTATACATAAATTCACCACCAGGTGGTGCAGAACCGGTCAGTCTATCTGCATGCTCGTTTCCCACGCACTGGCATCACCTGGAGTAAATATCCAAAGAACGTAAATTGCCTCGGACCTCAGTAGCGATGCTTGCCACTCTGCACGGAGCATGTCTGTCTCCACCTTTCTTAACATGCTCTGTGAGTCAGCTACAATATATGTGTACAGCTTATTCTCAATCCAGCGGAGGGCAGTAGTGACTGAATCCACCTCCATTCTCAAACTAGACGTTGTGATATCATATGCCAGGCTTTTTGTTGCATTAAGCTACGTCCATTCGCTTTTGCTACGAACCCCTATGCACTTCGCCTACATTTCAACACAGAGCCATCACACTTAAACAGTTAATAGAAAATAACATTGAATACAATAAGAACTTATTTGTGGCATTCGTAGACCAGGAGAAGGAATTTGACAGAGTCGACAGACAATTATTATGGAAAGTAATGGCAAGATATGGAGTAAGCGAACACCTCATCGAAGTGTGCAAAAGTTTTTACAGGGATTGTAGAAGTGTAGTTAGAATAAATCAGGGAACATCTCATCCATTCACAGTAACATCTGGAGTAAGACAGGGGTGTGTCTTATCACCACTGCTGTTTATCACCTACATCGACAGTATATGCAAGAATGCCAAGCCCATGAATGAAAATGTTAGTAAGATCAACGAATTACTCTTTGCAGATGACCAGGCCTTGATAGCAGACACAGCCATGAAATTGCAACAACATCTAACATCCATGAATGACGAATGTAAAACAAATAATATGAGAATCAACACTGAAAAGACAGAAGTAATGTCAATAGGAAAAAAGAAGACAGATTTAAACATGGCAATAGGCATTAAACATGCATATGAGTTTAAATATCTGGGAACTACATTTAACGAAGATGGGAAATTGGATAAAGAAATTAACATTAGATGCAGTAAAGCAAACCAAGTATTGGGACAGCTAGGCCCCCTCTTACAGCATAAGACAATCCCAATCAGCACAAAGAGACATCTTATTCAAAGCATATTTATTCCAACTCTGTTCTACCAGTACCAGACATGGTCACTCACAACAAACCATAAAAGAAAATTAGTAACCACGGAAATGAGATGTCTGAGAAGGGCTGTAGGAGTGACCATAAGAGATAAGATCAGGAATGAGATCATAAGAGAACAAGTCGGCACAGAACCAATTATGGATTACATACGAAGACAGCAAGTGAAATGATTTGCCCACTTAGAGAGAATGCCTTGTAACACCATACCATACAAAGCATACATGGAAAGAGAAGAAGGATGTAGAGCACGGGGTAGACCAAGAACAAGATGGAAGGATAACATCAGAGAAACTCTACAACAGCACGATGTGCCTGTGGTCGAGGCAGCCAGAAGAGCTAGAAACAGAACCTTATATCTCCCTCGACATCCACAGCGGTAAAAGAGGAAGTGAAGAAGAAAAAGAAGAAGCCATCTGTATATATACCCATATCACCTAGGTGGGATTTGTCATAAATCATTTGTTGAACTTCTGATTCTGCATCACCAGCCGGCCAGATCAGAACTCTACACAAATCTGATTCTTGCTCGGGCACTTTGACCCACTCCTCTCCTCGACCAAATTTATCAAGCCTGCACACATATCTAATTGTGTCCCCAGCTTGCGCCATCCAAGGCATTCCTCTTTTCAGTCTGTGACCCTTAGCTCTACCCAGGGCTTCATGCAGAAGCTACTCTGTGAGATATGACTTTGCTTGCAGAACTTTGAACCTATTTGCAATAGTAGGCAGTGCACGCGTATATTACAAACATACTACCGGCGTGTCTCTTATACATCCCAGAATTACCCGTATGGCTGCATTCTGTATATGTTCAAGATTCATCAGCTGACTCTTTGATATGGTAAGCATTCCAAATTCATCTATCACTGACAGGATCACATGATGGTAGAAGATCATATGCTCTGGATTATAATAATTCGATTATTAAGAAAAGATACAGGAAAGTCTGGCATCGTGACATGGAAAAACGTCTGTATAAGAAATGACTGACAATACGAAACAGAGGGCTGTGGATAGGTATGACTAATAAGACGAGATGTGTTTGTGGTCGCAGAGGTTGCACGGTGATTGACATTTTCAGCACTCTCAGTTCAGGAGCACTTGTAGCTTTGACGTCATAACAATCACACTCAAGATGGCGGAACCGGAGTTGAATGTAGACAGTCTCATCTCTCGGCTGCTCGAAGGTTATATTTGTACTTAGAGTGTATTTTTGTTGTAGGCGTTGTTAGAAACATGCATTTATGAGTGTTGGCTGTTAAAATAACCTGATAAAAAAAAAAATTATCCCTTACACGTAAAAATTTAATTTTTTTAAGCAGTCTACCTACAATCTTAATCTACATCGGTTTGGACCGGGAAGTCCAAATTAAATTTAAATAAGTGGTGACTAAAAATATAATTTAGAGATTCATAAGCGAGTCTTTTAACTGAGCCAGTGTTTTATATTCATGTTTACCTAACCAGTCTTTAAAAATTGAAACTGTATATATAAATGATAAATCTATTACACAGACCCCATAGTTGTTACACTACAACTACAGTTTTTAAACTGGTTGCCAGTATGATATCCAGGAAGAGACTGTCAGATTTAGATTTAGTACTAGTAATCGCAGCTACTCACAATTTATTTCAAATTAGAGACTTTTTAAATTAGAAAAAATTCCCTACAAGATATAAAGTCATACACCTGTTTTGGCAACGCTAACAAACTGAAGGATCATACAGAGACATACAAAATGAGAAGCTTTCATCATAAACTGGGAATTATGAGGAAGTCAAATTATAATTGCACTCTAGGATTGAGTTCCCAACAGAAAATAGTGCTTTAACGTCAGATTAAAAACTGCTGTAGTTTGTTAGTAAAGAAAATGGGATTTTTCGTATTTCTGCATTCGTTAGCGGTGGCTTCCTTCCCACAGAAAAAGAAGCCACTGACAAGGAACTTAAATTAAAAAAACATCTCAGTTTCCATACTCCCGATCTGTCAACCCAAGTAGAAGAACGTTCTTCTACTTGCGTTGACAGATCGGGAGTATGGAAACAGATGTTTTTCTATTTGTAAGTTCCTTGTCAGTGGCTTCTTTTACTGTTAGCAACATGAGAAAAGAGAAAGCGGTTAAAGAGTTGACAATAGAGATTACCTGACACCTGCTCAACATAAGAGAGGCTGTGCGACCTAGCGAGGCACTAATCGGAAAGGAAGTCACTTTTTGGAAAACAAAATGTTACTTGCACCAAATTTGCAAAAATTAACTTTGTTTCTGTTCCCTCTCATTGTTTTATTGAATGTTCTTCTCCTAGTTCTGGAAACAGTTGTGTTTTGTTTTCTAAAGTATATGGTAACACATCTAAATATGTATGCTTTTTTTGCAGTCGCTTTTGCTTTGTTTTTAATTCAAGATGGACCTCATCTCTTTCGGTTATGTAATTTCATAATGGTTCCCACAGACTGTCCTTTGTTCTGGGGGTGTCATATGTTGCTTATTGTGAACGTTTAAACTACAACTACCACCGATGACAGACACAGCCAAGGAGCGCACAAAATACAAAAACATCAGTGATTACATATCGTCACGTATTTGTTTGTGCACTCCCCCCTGCAGTACTTCTTTCTTGTACACAGTCACCTTTGGTGCCTTAGACCTAATCACAATAACACATTCCAGAAGCGACACTCATTCACATAAAAGAAAGTAGCAAAAAGAAAGCCCCGCAGTTTCGTCTGGGAGAAAGTGTGTCGACCTCATTGAACGAACGGCATTCACTTTTCGCCACACTGTATGGATATCAAAGAAAGACATCTCATAACACTCCTACAACATAGGTGGGAACCATTACAAAATCAGCCGAATGAGGTGGGATGAGAATCGCAGGTTGTACCCAACTTGTTGAGCTAACATTGTCATCCAGAAATTTTATGCTTTCTCACTTTACATGTCACATTAGACAACCTTTACTTGAGTGGTTTTTTTTTTTTTTTAAAGACAAAAATGTATTAACAATTTTAGAATGACTGAATAATTTCATCTTTTCAGTCCGAGGATGTCGCCCAGGGAAGACAGTACAAATGACAGAGGCTGAGGTTAGAGGACTTTGTTTGAAGTCAAGGGAGATCTTCTTGAGTCAACCTATACTTCTAGAGCTAGAAGCTCCACTTAAAATTTGTGGTAAGCAAGCACCAGGGTTCGTAGTGGACCGGGAAATCGGGAAATAACCGGGATTTTTTTCGTTGACCTTGAACCGTGAATTTTAGCTTATAAAAGACATTCCGACCTTGAAAAGCCGTGAATTTTGACCACGGCAATGAAATCGTCAGAAATCCTGTGTTTCTCAGCACAGGCAATTTTGGGGGAGCCATTTGGCTTTTTTGGCCATTTGGCTAGTTTTTGGCTACTTTCGTTGTATGGTCGTTTCAGGTGTGAGGGCAGCTGATTATTGGCTATTTTCAGCCGAGTTGGCTTGTTAAAGGCCAGGGGAGGGCGGGCTGTGTTGCAGATCATGAATACATGCAGACAGCAGCGGTGTGGCATGGGGCGGGAAGTAGCAGATTCCGTCTCGCGTGTGTGTGTGTGTGCCTTTGTTTCTAGCAAGTCGGGCAGAATGAACAGTAAAAATCGTTTATGGCCGTGGTTTCTAGAAAGGATTACATTGGGAGATGGTGGGGCTCGGTTCAGTTGTATCTATAAATAGAGTCGCCGTGGTGGAGGCTAAGCAAGGCCTTCTCTATTAATTAGAGATGGCATTGGGGCTAAGCAAAGTGACTGCAGCTGGATTTCCCAGTTCTATTTTTGGCCTGGATTTATCTTTACAGTGTGTTTGGCGGTCAGTATTGTAATTCCCCGAGATTTCCTCTTCTGTTGTCTCACCCCTCTCTCTCTTCCCTCCCTCTTTCACTCTTCTACCTATTGCTCCTTCCTTCCCGTCTCCTGCATTGTCTCTAACCCTCCCTTCTGATCTTTATCTTCTTCTCTTTCTCTCTATCTTTCCATTGACTCTCTCATTTCCTGTCCCCCCTCCCCCTTTTTCCTATTTTATTTCTTGTTTAAATGTTTAGTAAATGTGCGGCTCCATAACTCTTCCTAGCAAAAAAAACTCAAGTACACAGGAAGTTGTATTGGGGGGGGGGGGGGGGCATTCTGTGTGAACATGGTGGATATTTTCTTTTGATGTGTTTGTTTTCCTAGCGGCCTTAAGCTCTGTCCATCTCCCTTCCCGCCCCCTCACATTTTGTCCTACCTGTTCCTCACTCTCTGCCTGTCTGTGTCACTGCTTTCCTCTCTCTCTTTCTCTTTGTATTTGCCACTCTCCCTCACTCTCTCTCTCTCTCTCTCTCTCTCTCTCTCTCTCTCTCTCTCTCTTTCTTTCTTTCTCCATACCTTCAGTTGGTGTAGAAGGTTATGTGTTGCCTAGTGCAGAACATTTCATGTCCACCATTCCCCCTCCCACACATTAAATATATGTGTACTTTTAAAAACACATTTGCCGTCACCCCCTCCCTTTTTTTTTCTCCTCCCACATTGATGACACCTAGGGGAGGGAGTGCACCCCTTCCTGCTACCTTCTTCCCTCTGTGTCTCATCTTATTTCTTACTCCCTTCTTTCTCTCCCTGTCTCATTCCCACTTTATTTTTCTTAAACTTTATTCTCTCACCTCCCCTGTCTCACCCTTACCACCTCAGCCTTCTACACCACTTTCCACCACCTCCTCTCTCCCCTCCTTTCTGTAATTGGAAAACCAGAAATAAAACGAAGTCCACTGCTGCCCTGACCTATTTATGTGTCTGACCTATTTATGTGTGTGGGTAAACTTCTCTATTTTCTACCAGTGGTGGGTTGGGATCCCCTGGACTTTTTTTTTCTTCATAAAATGACCTTGGCTCTCAGGTCACCAGCCTTAAGTGTAAGAAATTGAATTATTGTTGTCACACACAGATAGGACAAGCAAGGGGCAGTAGGGGTTAGCACTGTTGTTTTTGGACCACGGCCACATTCACATTGGGAGAGGGTAGGAACTGGAAAAGTGGCCTCACTTAGAGATTTCCTAATTCTATTTTTGGCACTCATTGTTCTTACACCCCCCCCCCCACCCCCACAACCGTGTCTTACCTTTCTTCTCTCACCCCTTCTCTTTCCTTTGATCTTCTACTATTCTCCTTTCTCTCTCCATTCTTCCTCTCTTCCTTTCCTTGCCCTTTCTCCTGTCCCATCTCTTCTTTGTCTCTTCTCCATCCTGTCTTTTCATTTTCTCTAGTTTTCCTTACCCGCTCCCCTCTCTCATTCTCCCCCCCCCCCCCCCATTTTTTACTGGTTCATCTACGTATTTTTTTTCCTAGTGGTTGTGTCCACTACACTTGAAATTGTGTGGGGGGGGGGGGGGGGGGGAGTAGGTGGCTGTTTTTTTTCTTTGATGTATCTTGTCTCCCTTCCTGCCCCTCTCTCTTAATCTGTGTTTGTCACTGCCTTCCTTACCCAACTCTCTCTCTCTCTCTCTCTCTCTCTCTCTCTCTCTCTTGCTTTATGTCTGTTTGCCTCCCTTCATCACTTCCTCTTTGTATACCTCCCTCCCATTCTCCTGTTCTGCCTTTTTTCTCTTTATTTGGTTCTCTCCCTCTGTCTGCTTGCCTCTCTGTGCTGTCCCTTTGTCTCTCTCTCCTTTATGTCTACATCTCTCTCTGCTTGCATCTGCTTCTCACCCTGTCCGTTCTCTCTCCCTCTGTCTCCCTTCTTTCAACTCTTTGTCATATTTTCCTCCTTCCATATCTCTGTTTCGTTCCCTTTTTCCTTCTCTTTTTCATCTGCCCATCTCTGTATCTGCATTCCCTCTTTCTGTATTTGTCTCCCTCTCTGTCTTTCGCTGTCCCTTCCCCACTTTTCCTCATCATGTCTCCATCCCTCCCTCTCATTTTTTCCTCCTTCCCCAGACTTCTTTTCCTTCTTTTCTCTACCTTTATCTGTCCATCTTTACACTGTCTCTCCCAGCCTACCTCAGCATGTGTCTTCCTCTCTCTTCATGACTCTCTCTCTCTCCCCCTAACCCTCTCAGGTACCAGGTCCAGAACAGACAGGACTTCAGTTTGCTGCCCTCTACCACCAAGCCCTAAAAAAAATTTCAAACACTATATCAAGCTCAGGGGCCGACCAACACGAAGATGGGCACAGGATATAAGTGACTCCTTGAGTATAAAAAAGTACATGAGGCGGGAGAGCTGGTGAGAGACCGAGGTTTTTTTGTCAGGACAAAGGAAATGCTACATGATGATGATATCTGTGCTGGTATACCAACACATGTGGCACAAATGAAGTACCTTGTGTGCTCAGTACACCCTTGAACAAGGCAAAAATCTTGTTTCAGTATTACACCGAGACAACCTTGAAAAAAACTAAGGAGACCTTGAAAAAGACCTTGAAAAGCCTTGAAATTGATTGGTAAATTTGGCTATGAACCCTGAAGCACACACACATGCATAAGCACTCTCACACACACATTTCTCATGATGAAATCATAAGTTGTTTGGTCCTTTACCATCACATGCAGCTCACCCTGTACCCATGCTCATTATAAATAATTTAACTGTGTATTTCACACATGTTTGTTTAATGTCCCAGATAGTTAGCATCCTTAGGATATTTTCTCTAGGTTATGCCAGTGTGTAGGGGAAGGATATTTTCTCTAGGTTATGCCAGTGTGTAGGGGAAGGATATTTTCTCTAGGTTATGCCAGTGTGTAGGGGAAGGATATTTTCTCTAGGTTATGCCAGTGTGTAGGGGAAGGATATTTTCTCTAGGTTATGCCAGTGTGTAGGGGAAGGATATTTTCTCTAGGTTATGCCAGTGTGTAGGGGAAGGATATTTTCTCTAGGTTATGCCAGTGTGTTTGGGGAAATGAACAGGTAGGTAGTCTGGCTGGTTCTGCACCACTTGGTAGTGAATTGATGCATGTCCTTTTTTTTGAGTGAGTGAAAAGTGTGGAAGTAAAAATAGATCATCACAGTCTGAGGAGAATGGTGCTGCGAGGAGTGACCAGGGGTCTTGCCAGTTTATCAGCACTCAAGGGACAGGCAAGATGGATATACAATTAGACTGTTACTGATCCCATCAGAATTGGAACTGCACTTACTGCTGAAGATGGGGATGTAGCGCGTATGAGGTTGTCCTGAGTGCTGTGATGTTTATTCCTTATTCAGCTTTCAATCAGCATTAGTCCTTGGAGACAATCTGTCTCTTGTTGGCCTACAAAATCAAGTATCCAGAAAACTTCTTCTTGTTGCGGGGCAACCATGAATGTGCTAGTATCAACAGGATTTATGGCTTTTATGACGAATGTAAGTAATGCCTCTTATTTTCATATGTGTTGGTTATTATGAAAATTACGTAACTTTTTTCTGAGGACACAGTCGATATGTATTGCATAATTTATTACTTGGTATTTTGTGTGTGTGTGTATCTTTGAATGCATACTGCACAATATACTTACGAACATATCATATAAAGGACACAAAAACTACTACTTTCAACTGAAGTACCCAAATTAAATTGTCGACTATTTCAATGTGTGATTCACCACAGAAGTCTTAAGCTAACCACATGCTCCCTTTTATATGTTGATGTAAATTCTGTATTATGCATATGACAGGATACAGGTAAAATACAATGTAATAATTTATGCAGTGTTTAGTTTATGTTCATATTATTTAACTTCACAGTGAGAAAACCTTGCTTTGAATTGATTAAATGTACCTGGTATAAATCCGAATGTTAATGTGATATTGAAATGAATGCAGTGGTTCTTGTTATTTAGTCTAAGTCAAGATTTCAACTTCACTGTAATCGGATTTTCCCATATTTGCTCCGTTCTTGTGCCAGTGAAAATGAAGGGAAATGTCTTTCACTGACCTATTTGAAAAACTGGTGAACAAACAGTTAGTCCCAGCACAATCCAGAAATATGTGCACGCAGTAAATGCATTTTATTTGTGCAAAAGTACCTGTGGAGGAAACCTGTTATTAATACTCTTTTTCCTGTTTTTGTGTAAATGCTTTTTCTGCTCAGCTGCATATCTGCTGTTCTGTTCTGTGCAGGCATTTTTTTTCTTGCTGTTTAATTCATTCATTGTCCTGTTGTGCCATTATATGTCACCTAGGGCTGACAGTCTATGTCTCTATTCTGTTTTGTCCTGTACAATCACTTCGATAACGTGGATGGAATCCAGTCCAGTGCCCTTGGCTTCTGTCATCAATGTTTGTTGTAAGGTTTCCCTTTGAAATCCATGTCTGCTGCTAAATTGGTAACTAATAAAGAAAGTCAAATACATAATTACTTTGAATGCCATGAGGCACCCTATCATTTAAGGTAAGTCTGTATTTGGTGAGTGATGTGATCACTATCACATCGGATGCATTTACTTTCAAAGAAATTTTCTGGTGCAGATTTTAGTGAAGGTTGATCTGGGGAAGATGGGCGTGGGGTTTGGATTTTTAACTTGATTACCATGGGTGAACAAGTACATGTAGTAACTAACATAATTTTTTTTTAAATAGGACTTCAAATTTACTAGGTGATGATATTTTTTGGATATGTGGCTATTTTCCATCTAATCAAGTCTCTTCCTAGAGATAATTGGTAGTCATTTTGTGATGATTATTCCTTCCCAGGGCTGTCTGAGGTGAGAAAACATCATGTGATATGATGTCATACTGATAGTTTCTATAGTAGATTTGGCTATCTTCCAAATAACGGGCACATATTATGGCGGCCAAAAACAGGGCCTTAGCCACATGTCAATTATCGAACTTCCGACGACTGCCGTCACCGCCGAGAGTATACCCCACGCCGCTTGCGCGGTGTGGATTGGAGCTAAACTAGATGGCTGGGACTCTGAGCAAAGCTGCAGGAGATGCAGAAGCTGCTGCTCGTGAGTCCCAGCCATCTAGTTGAGCCCCAATCCACGCTGCTCACCCGATAACTCTCGGCGGTGGCGGTAGTCGTCCGAATTCTGCAAATTAAATCGCCGGAAGTGTGCAATTGACATGTGACTGAGGCCCTGTTATGGTGGTTTTGTGGCCGCCAAAATATGTGCCCATTATTCGGAGGATAGCCGCAGATTTTAGTAATAACCTGTTTTTAAACAGAAATCATTGTAAGGAATTTCAACAGACATTCATTTTATTACGTAGCATTTTTGAATATAATATGAATTTAATTTAACCTGATTTTAAATTATATTTTTATATCTCTCATTGCTCCCCTCCAACTTTCCTACAGTCACGATATACTCCAGTTTTCTCCTTCTCATCATGACCAAAGAATGTAGATTGCCTCTTTCTGATGTGGGCAGTCAGTTCTCTTCATGAGTCAGTTTCTTTCAAGATAGCTTCATTACTCTCTTTATCTGTCCAGGGTAATCCCATCATTCATCAATAAAACCACATCTCCGCAGCTTCTAAATAAGTTTTCACTAATTTAATGACTGTCCATGATTCACTTCTGTAAATCAAGATAGGATTTATATAGCTTTTTATAATGCTCTTTAAAAAAAAAACCTCACCAGTACCTATTTAAGACTAATATGGGAGCTGTCAGTTTTCGGGTGGCTCTAGGGCAGGGCTATTCAGCTAAGTTTACTCAGGAGCCAAACATTTTTTTAATAGGAATAGTCATGGGCCAGAAGCCTGAGCCCCATCATAGAAAGATCATTAATACAGTACAACTGGCAGTGATAGGCGGGCTACTTGTTAGGCCTCCACACAAAAAATATAGCACAAAGATTGCCGGCTGAAAAGTCCTGCTCTAGGGTTAACTGTCTAAGAAAATAGAGGCTGGATACAATTCTACAGCTTGAGGATTATCTGGGAGGAATAGTCACAGAGAAATGAGAATAAAATATCCTTCTTTATACGCACAGACCTGTGCCGTACAAATAAATTGGCTAGTGTAGACTCCTTCATTACCAAATAAATTTAATAGGAGTACGAAATAAAGTTATTTAAAGGCCATAGAATGGTAGATTTTATTAGACCAGATTTTATCTGGAATGAGAAAGTTTCTCTCCCCAGAGTGTTACATAAATTATATGAAGAGGAGTGGTGCAGTTTTAAGTGCTGTTATATCACTGGTGACCTTTTATTTCCACATAGACTTCTGAATGAGTATAGTATAGTTGGGCCAACCATTTTAGTCTTGGCAAGTTATTGCTTTGGGACATGGTTTGCTGTTATGTTTTGCCTCATTTGTGGACTGCATGTATTAGGTTTCGCAGTCCAGCTACTGGGTGCATGGTGGGACATTGGGCTGTGGATTTTGTTTGGAAAGATTTTTGACTGGACAAGGTATTTTGTTTTGTGAAGAGCAAATTCAGAAAACAGCGGGTGGCCTGCTAAAAAAAAGCAACCCTAGGTGCCTTACGCAGTGTTGCGTGTGCAACTGCTGATTAGTTGTAACTTACTTCTGTTAATGAAAAACAGAAATTCTAGTGGCGGACCTAATGTCTAAGCATTTCTGACATATACCTTTTGCATTTAATGTGCATGTATACTATTGGCTTTGTCAGAACTGCAGACCGATTGTTTTTTTAACAGTAAACAGGGATAGGAATTTTATGTTGTTTTTGCTGTCACAGAAATAAAGCAGTTATGACGGGACCCTGTTTGGCATGAAGTTGGAACTGACTGACTAACCATATTCACAACCTTAATGTTCAACAGACTAACAATTAATTCTTACCTTTAAAAACAAGACAAGCTTATCCCTTAGGGCTTAGCTCTGTAACCAGGGCCTGCGACCTGTTACTTCATGCCTCGTTGAGTTCTGGGTATTGAAATCAGAGCCCATGTGCATTGTTGCGCACATAAAAAATTTTAAAAAAAAGTATTTCAGGATCCTCGTCGGTGCTACAGAGCCTGTGCACTGTGCTGAACTTTTTCGGACTCAGACTTGAGTTAAAAAAAGAACAGAGTACTTATGGGTTCCTAGCCGTGTGCCGTGATGTTGACCGGTTGTTCAAAACTTCAAACTTCATGCCTGTGCAGAAGTAGTAAGCTGGCTTTGCTGCTATATCACAGTCAATCAGTTTATTGAACTGAGGTTATGACCGCTATTAAAGGGTTTATCTGGAACAAAGATTTTCACCTAAATTAATCACTATCTTTAGATAAAATGCTTAAGTTCAGAACAGCAGACGAGTAGGGCAGTCAACACTGAATGTGTACAGAGAGTGGCTAGACACACACAAAAGCAATCAAAGGGCTCAGGGAATGGAAATGCACAGAGAAAAGGTGAACGCTTGAATCATTTTTATCAATGATTTAAAAACAAATCAGGGACACTTTTTAACCACAGAATCACACACACAGACACAACACCATAAGACAATTACAGCAAAGCCCTAATGGGCTAAATGTAGGAAAAATACTTAAGAGTTTGGTCGAAATGTTCACTTGTATGTGTGTGTATATATATATATAAATATATATATATATATATATATATATATATATATATATATATATATATATATATATATATATATATATATATATATATATATATATATATACACACACACACACATTAATTACCTTTCACCGACCTTCCTAGTTGCATTCATTTTTTGTGGTAAGTCATTGTTTGTATCAGCTAAACAGTCACCCCATAACTGAACACATGCAGCCAGTCACTGTCAAACATATGATCCTTTTTGTTGGATTGGCACACCAGGCATGTGGTGCTAGACCTGTGTTCTCATTCGTTACTCTGCACACAGTTGGAGTGTGGTCAGCGCATGCTGAGCTCGTTTATCAATATGGCTGTTACCTGGTACACACTTGGACCTGGGTCAGCCAGTCATTGTACAGTTAGTAAGTTGTACACACTTGAGGCTGGGTCAGCCAGTCACTGCACAGTTAGTTAGTTGTACACACTTGGACCTGGGTCAGCCAGTCACTGTACAGTTAGTTAGTTGTACACACTTGGACCTGGGTCAGCCAGTCACTGTACAGTTAGTTAGTTGTACACACTTGGACCTTGGTCAGCCAGTCACTGTACAGTTAGTTGCATATCCTTTACAGGACTATTTTTTCTAAAAACCCTTTGGTTTTACTAGACAATTTTATGCCATTGCTACCGAACAGTTGGCACTCCATACCATAATCAAAAGCACTGCAAAGTGGTCTACTGAATGGATCTACAAAGTCAGAGGTGAGAGCACCTATGTATGTGTCTGATGTGCACTGTTGATATTCTAAATAGGAGTGGATACAAAATGATGCACATTTAGATGCACATACCTTGTAGACACCCTCTGTCACCTGTCAAGAGGGAGAACAGTAGGTAAATTCACTTATTCCTTTCCTTCTCCTTGTGTAAAGTGATGTTTTTTTTTTTTTTTTTCAAATTAGGATTGTCCCCTGACTTGCAATCAATGGAGCAGATTAGACGCATCATGAGACCAACAGATGTGCCTGACACAGGTAACTTTCAAATATAAATAGTGTTTACTAGTTTTCTGGGTTTTGCCGGACTCTTGTTTGTTCACCAGTTTTTCAAATGGGACAGTGAGGGACTTTTCATTTGATTTTCACTGGCACAGGAATGGAGCAAGTATGGGGAAACCCGATTGCGGTGATGTTAAAACCTCGACTAAGACTAAATATTTACAAGTAGTTAGAGAATAGAGCCATTGTCCTTTAACAAGAATGTTGTAAGAGTTAACTAATTAGGGGTTTCCTTCATAGTCAGAGGGCATCTGCATCAAAGGCAAGGAACCAACAGTCTGCATACCAAAAAAAACCAGATCTGTAAAATGAATGTGCATGCAAATTCAAGTTCCGAAACAATACTTAAGTCCAGAAATAGACACAACCAGAACTTTAAGCCAGAGTGTACTGCTGTAAACACTAAGAAGAAGTGACAGTATCTTTTATAACCAGCAAGATTCTGGAGTCTACCAAGACTCATAGAAGTTAGGTACAGGATCATTTCTAAAAGGATAATTTCTAAAACCTTCAGGCAGTTGTCTGTGATGGCAATGCAGTGATGAAGGGAACTGGCTATCCCACCTCATATGTTGTGGTGGCCTAGAATATGTGAAAGCCTAACACACATCATATCCCACTGGCCATGTAACTGCTTTGGAACGTTAAAAAATATATACACATATTTAAGTACTCAGAATATCTTCACCAGAATGACACATGTTAAAGAGAGCGCAAGACAAAATACGAACATACAAACATTCACTGTTGTCATAATTTTGCAGGTCTCTTGTGTGATCTCTTGTGGTCGGATCCTGAAAAGGATGTTCAGGGCTGGGGTGAGAACGACAGAGGTGTGTCATTTACTTTTGGTGCTGATGTAGTGAGCAAGTTCCTTAACAGGCATGACCTTGATCTGATTTGTAGGGCACATCAGGTCAGTGATATTATTATTCATTTTTTTATGTAAACAGTTGTGGACTTTTTCCATAAAAAAAAAACACCTTTGCTCTTAAAACTGTTGTGAGAGTGTATTAGTTTCTGTCTGTGATGAAGAAAAAAATAAAAGTAAATTAATATAAAGTTCTGAAACAAACTGAAGTTTAAATATCTGGGAATAGCATTCACTTAAGTTGGCAAACTGGATAAAGAAATGAACATTCAATGCAGTGAAGCAAACCAGGTTTTGGGGCCAGCTATCCAACCTCCTGCAAGGTAAGATAGTCTTGATAAGCACACAAAAAACAACTGACACAAAGCATATTCACCCCCATCCTATGCTGCGAGTGCCACACATGCTCACAGCAAGTAGAAGAGATAAATTGAGCTGCACACAATGACAAAGGATAGGTCAGCTTGGCCCAGAGTAGTTAAGAAAAACTTTACTAGGGGGAATAAAGAGAAGAATGAGTAGAAAATAATTCTGCTGGGGTGAATATGACATGTTATTGAGCAGCTCCGCCAAAACAGATTGTCTTCCAAAGCTTAGTAGGCTTATTGACAGATTAAAGCAAGAAGCACTTTCATTGTAACATCCTGTGTCACATGTTGATATTTTATTTCTCAGGTTGTAGAAGATGGCTATGAGTTCTTTGCCAAAAGACAGCTGGTCACCTTATTCTCGGCACCAAACTACTGCGGTGAGTTTGATAATGCTGGAGGCATGATGTCCGTGGATGAATCTCTTATGTGCTCCTTTCAGGTTAGTTGGGATTTTATCTATGAGAATTATCATATAGAGATTTGCCTTTTATTGTTCACTGAATTAATGTTTGGCTCGTTTTAATTGTATTCTGTCAGCCTGCTTTAAAAGATTCATGTTATATTTTCTTTTCATTATTATCATCATTTTCCATGCCAGTTTGTGTGTGTGTGTGTGTGTTTAAGTTGCAGAACCAACCCTAGCATATTTTGGCTGTTTTTGATTTACCAGGCAATTCTGTGTCTAGTAGTTTTGCCATTGCCTTGCTTTCTGTATGTTTGGCTCTTGATACCACTGTCAAAACCAACACAAGGCGGTCTGCTGTCAGATCGCCTACAGATGGAATGGACCCCAGCAACTTTTCATTATTAAGTGTGTTCAAGGTGTCTAAGCCACAGACACCGACTGTGTCATGCCAGTAAAGGAAGGTCATGATGGTTTGTGCTTCAAATTCTGTGGATGGCCAAACAGATGAACTCAGATGAGTTAAAAGTAGGTGAGGGCCCCAGATCACTTATCACAGACATCTGAAAGCCAGTGTAAAAATTGTTTAGCCTGAAACGAGAAGAGGGGATGGAAACGTCTGACCCCTGGAATTATTTATATAAAGAGACAGAGGAAGACAGCACAAGAAAATTCTTGACAGCCTTTTGTTTGTCATGGCATGGAAGGGGGTTACCTGCAGTTGGAGATCGCCAGTTGTGGAGAGGCATGATCACCCACGCCAGTCAAGGCATTTAATGCTGATGATAAATCATGGTTCATCATTTCACATGATCACCCGTCTTATCTGACTTTTTATCTTGTCCCGATTATGCCTCTGTAACCAGACTTTCCGAGAATTTATTACCTTGTCTTTCCCTTGCTCTCTCCCAACACATTTGTATGTTGTCACTAGGTTTTCACATTTATTACAGTTCATAACATCACCCAAAAAAGTCTTGGATTGTCTGTCTAGTTTCTCTGACCATTTTACTGTTGTCCTGTTCTTGAAGGGTCACTACCATTTTTTTTTCTTGGTATTTGTATTTTGTTCAGAGAAACTACATTTAAGCTGCCATTGGATGTTTTCCAGCTTATCTGCATATAAAGTGAGATTCTGTGTGGACGGGGTCAGATAAATACTTAGGTATCTAGAAACACAGAGAGAGATATCAGTATTCAGTCAGTGGTTAACAAAATTAACAGATTTGACCTTTCCTCTTACAGATTCTGAAGCCTTCAGAAAAGAAAGCAAAATACCAGTATGGAGGACTGAATTCTGGTCGACCAATTACACCACCACGTGGACCACAACAGCCAAATAAAACAAAAAACAATAAAAATTGATGTGGACCTTATTTAAGTGCCTTTTGTCATACAGCGGGTGTAAATTGGTTTCGTAACCATAGAATAATTATCTTGTCATTTGATATTGTTAATAATATACTTAGTTCGGCGGTTATGTCAGGAAAATAATTACAAAAAAATGTTGATGGAAATTGATTATTAGAAATGAGGTGGTTATTTTATATGGCTGTTGTCAAATTTGTCAACTATTTGGGTCAGTACGTAAAGCTGGCAGTTCACACAGTCGTCATTATTGTTAGTACAGGAATTGCTTCATACATTGAATAAATGAAATGGAAAATGGGGCCACACCCCCAGCCTGTGTTGTCACTTCCTGTCTGTCTTCACATTTAAGGAGGACACACACACACTGACTATTGTGAAGCTGATGATGTAGGACATCCATTTAAACCATAAAGGTAGCCTCATTGATTTACATATTCATCTAGCTGTATTTATGTCAATTTTCTCTTTTTGATAAAGGTTTTAGTGTCACATCTTGTCTATCACTTGTAGCTGTAATTTTGTAAAGGCGACCTTTTCCATTTTGCGTATTCAATTTTTTCATCAAATTTGTTGTATACTTGGAGAACCTCGCCATAACTTCGCCTGCATCTTTTTTTTTTTTTAACTTTATATCGGAAACAATAATGAGCAGTATCCATCAAAAACCAGAACTACAAATGCTGTGCAAAGTTTACTTTTATTGCAGTTATTTGTTTGCTTACTTATTTTTGGATCAGTATAAACTTGTATACCATTTGTAGGTTTATTGTTAATTTCTTGTCAAATCTTGTTAAGATAGTGTGAAGTGTTGTTGCTTGAGTCTCACTTCTGTGAAGTGTAACCTGAAGCTGTCTACATGATTTAGAGGTTGATGGAATCTCCTTGTTAATTATTTTTGCACTGTTTTTTGTCTACAATCAATGCTGAATCATCTGCTCTCTATTTTATTGACGTTATGCCTCCCTCAGCAAATCTCCTTACATCTTTTAAATTTCTTATAATTTTGTTGTGTAAGAGAAAATGTATAGTCATGTAATATAATCCTCCTGGTTGGCAGGCATTGTTCTACTTCATTAACAGTTTCTTTCCAGTAAAATGTTCTTTACAAATCTTAGATCTTGTCCATCAATACTGATGTCTCTTAGCATTTTTGACCATGTTGATGCGTCTTACTCAATCAAAACCCTATGTTAGTCTTTAAAGCAAAGATGTAGGTCTTCATTTACTTATATTGTATGTTTTATTATTGTTCTCACTAGATAAACATTTGTATCTGTTAGAAAGTTTGGTAGAATTATTAGTAAATAGTTTGTTAATTGGATATCCTGGGAGTAAGTTAAATGAGATGAAAGGGATCGGGTACAATAGTAAAGAACAAATACACAGTAATGTACTCAGGAAGTGAGAAATGTGGAATTGGAGACAAGGCAGCACTGTTCTTTGGTCATGTGATGAAAAGGAAGGCTTTTGTTGAATATTGGGATGACTGAGAGGATCAGCTGTAGAAGAGGAGAGGCAGACTGGGAGAGATGATGATAGGTGGATTGCCACGGTGGCACGGAATGATATCATCAGTGAAACTGATTCAGAAAACAAGGGACACATCTGTGGAGATGTATGAACACCAGTCTAAAGGGCACATGATTGTGATGTTTGTTTTTAAAAAAATGAAACGATTGTAAAACATGTAAGCTCTTCAGTTGTAATGAATGTCTACAAATATTCAGTCTTCTTCACCATATAGTCCGCACCATATGGTGTTGGTAATCATAGCAGTCCACAGCCTTTTGTCTCATATACATCAGTTCTGCTATGATATCAGACTGTCCAGTATCTTCTCTCTTGTTCTTCGTCTGCCCTCATTTCCCTTTCAGCTTTCCCACTGTTACGATGAACTCCAGTTTTCTCTTCATGACATAATCAAGAATATAGATTGTCTCCCACTGATGTGGGCAGTCTGTTCTCTTCTGTCAGTTTCTTTCAAGACATCTTAAATCTTCTTTATTTATATATCTGTCCAATATGTTCTTATCATTCTTATATAAAAACCCCATCTCTGTCGCTCCCACATAATTTTTCTTTAATCAGCTATCTATCCATAATTCACTTCTGTATATCAGGATTTATAGAGCTCATGAAAATTCTTTCTGACCTCAGTGACAAAGAAAGATTGCATAGAAAATTCTTCATTTTGTGAAATGCTGACTTTGCTTGAGCTATTTTCACATATAACTTCTTTATAACATCTTCCATCTGCTGTGATCAGGGTTCCCAAGTATTTAAACGTATCAACTACTAAATTCATTATAGTGGCTCATTATGCTTGAATTAATTTACTTTGTATGATTGATCTGTCATTTGTCATTTTTTGTAACTCCTTATTTATGTCAGTTGAAACACCACATATTGCTTGATAATGTGGAGTCATTAACAGATTGTGATTTGCTTGATATGGAATTTGACAACATTGTGTCAAATCTTGTATCACTTTCAGGAAATAACAGAATCTCACTGGGTCTTTTTTTTTTTTTTTTAGATCAATATTTTATATGATTCCTCTCCACTTTCTTCCCGCTGGTGTCACAAAGTTTGTGTGTGTTTTTTTTTTTTTTTTAGACTCTCAAAACTAATAGAGCTATTTAAATAACCTAATTTACATTACCTATCTGCCTATTTCTGTTCACTGGTAGAAGCATGATTTTTTTTAAGCATTCTTCTTCCTGTTGCTTGCATTGTTTTAAGACTTTTTTGTTTTTTAAGCATTTTTTGGGACAAATCTTTGTTTGTTTTGTACAAGTAAGTTTCAGTGGAAAAATTGCAGCTGTAGACAACATAAGATTCATGGTACCTGTAGGTCAGCTTCGGGTGCAGCTGTAGACAACATAAGATTTATGGTACCTGTAGGTCAGCTTCGGGTGCAGCTGTAGACAACATAAGATTTATGGTACCTGTAGGTCAGCTATGAGTGCAGCTGTAGACAACATAAGATTCATGGTACCTGTAGGTCAGCTATGGGTGCAGCTGTAGACAACATAAGATTCACGGTACCCGTAGGTCAGCTATGAGTGCAGCTGTAGACAACATAAGATCCGTGGTACCTGTAGGTCGCCTATGAGTGCAGCTGTAGACAACATAAGATTCATGGTACCTGTAGGTCAGCTTCGGGTGCAGCTGTAGACAACATAAGATTTATGGTACCTGTAGGTCAGCTTCGGATGCAGCTGTAAACAACATAAGATTTATGGTACCTGTAGGTCAGCTATGGGTGCAACTGTAGACAACATAAGATCCATGGTACCTGTAGGTCAGCTTCGGGTGCAGCTGTAGACAACATAAGATTCATGGTACCTGTAGGTCAGCTATGGGTCCAGCTGTAGACAACATAAGATCCATGGTACCTGTAGGTCAGCTTTGGGTGCAGCTGTAGACAACATAAGATTAATGGTACCTGTAGGTCAGCTTCGGATGCAGCTGTAGACAACATAAGATTTATGGTACCTGTAGGTCAGCTATGGGTGCAGCTGTAGACAACATAAGATTTATGGTACCTGTAGGTCAGCTATGGGTGCAGCTGTAGACAACATAAGATTCATGGTACCTGTAGGTCGCCTATGAGTGCAGCTGTAGAAAACATAAGATTCATGGTACCTGTAGGTCAGCTTCGGGTGCAGCTGTAGACAACATAAGATTTATGGTACCTGTAGGTCAGCTATGGGTGCAGCTGTAGACAACATAAGATTTATGGTACCTGTAGGTCAGCTTCAGATGCAGCTGTAGACAACATAAGATTTATGGTACCTGTAGGTCAGCTATGAGTGCAGCTGTAGACAACATAAGATTCATGGTACCTGTAGGTCAGCTTCGGGTGCAGCTGTAGACAACATAAGATTTATGGTACCTGTAGGTCAGCTATGGGTCCAGCTGTAGACAACATAAGATCCATGGTACCTGTAGGTCAACTTTGGGTGCAGCTGTAGACAACATAAGATCCATGGTACCTGTAGGTCAGCTTCGGGTGCAGCTGTAGACAACATAAGATCCATGGTACCTGTAGGTCGCCTATGAGTGCAGCTGTAGACAACATAAGATTCATGGTAGCTGTAGGTCAGCTATGAGTGCAGCTGTAGACAACATAAGATCCATGGTACCTGTAGGTCAGCTTCGGGTGCAGCTGTAGACAACATAAGATCCATGGTACCTGTAGGTCACCTATGAGTGCAGCTGTAGACAACATAAGATTCATGGTACCTGTAGGTCGCCTATGAGTGCAGCTGTAGAAAACATAAGATTCATGGTACCTGTAGGTCAGCTTCGGGTGCAGCTGTAGACAACATAAGATTTATGGTACCTGTAGGTCAGCTATGGGTGCAGCTGTAGACAACATAAGATTCATGGTACCTGTAGGTCAGCTTCGGGTGCAGCTGTAGACAATATAAGATTCATGGTACCTGTAGGTCAGCTATGGGTCCAGCTGTAGACAACATAAGATTCATGGTACCTGTAGGTCAGCTATGAGTGCAGCTGTAGACAACATAAGATTCATGGTACCTGTAGGTCAGCTATGGGTGCAGCTGTAGACAACATAAGATTCATGGTACCTGTAGGTCAGCTATGAGTGCAGTTGTAGACAACATAAGATCCATGATACCTGTAGGTCAGCTATGGGTGCAGCTGTAGACAACATAAGATTTATGGTACCTGTAGGTCAGCTATGGGTGCAGTTGTAGACAACATAAGATCCATGGTACCTGTAGGTCAGCTATGGGTGCAGCTGTAGACAACATAAGATTCATGGTACCTGTAGGTCAGCTATGAGTGCAGCTGTAGACAACATAAGATCCATGATACCTGTAGGTCAGCTTCGGGTGCAGCTGTAGACAACATAAGATTTATGGCATCTAAAAAAAAGCAAAGGACCCTTTTCCACGCCTTTGGGTGTATATGGCATATTGGGCTAGACCTATATTTTTAAAGACCATCGGCACAAGATGGGT